ATAGGATTCAGTGCACTCGCTGCGCGACAGTAGGAGTTGTCGGAAAGCTAGGTGGGTGAATAAGCCGTGCTGCCCAGCCTATAGTACTTTCCCAATTCATGAATCTCACAAGCCACATGTGCGTGTGTTTCGAGGAATCACCCTGTGCTTGAAGTGTGGGGGGAGGAGCGGGTCCAGGAGTAAGAAACTTCCGGGACCCTGCCTTCCAGCCACAAGCACCAGACGCAAGGCCGTTCGACGATTCCTCAAGCAGCAGCGGCCACAGGGGCTGCTCAGCTGGCCGACGGGCGAGCTCGCCTACTTGCGCGAGCGGGCTGCCTGCGCGGCGGGCGCCGTGCCGCTCTTCTAGCGGCCGCGGCGGTCCAACGTGCTCCGGAAACGCTGTTCCGGAGCACGCTGGCGGACGGGCCCTCGGCGCGCGAGGACAGGCCCGCAATGCTGGCAACTGGCAACTGGAGGAGGAGGAGGAGGAGGAGGAGGAGGAGGAGGAGGAGGAGGAGGAGGCGGAGGAGGCGGAGGAGGCGGAGGAGGAGGAGGAGGAGGAGGAGGCGGAGGAGGAGGGAGGAGAGGCGGAGGAGGAGGAGGAGGAGGAGGAGGCGGAGAAGGGGAGGAGAAGAGGAGGAAGGAGGAGGAGGAGGAGGAGGAGGAGGAGGAGGAGGGGCGCGCCGCCTACAATCGGCGGCGAGCGAGGAGGGGGAGGAGAAGGAGAAGGCCTTGTGGGCGGCCAGGGACGCGCTGGCCCCGCGCGGCGCTGTACCGTCGAGGCCGACTCGTAGGCCGACCCTGCCAGGTCAAGGGTACGTACAGTCAATCGGCGGCGAGCGAGGGGGGGCGAATTTCGAGGTTCGAACTTCTAGGCGGTTGTTCATAGTTTACCGATCTCTGAGGGCCGTTCTCGGGCCCCAGAACCCCTGAAACTCGACCTGGAGTGCAAAACCGCGTCGGATGTACCGCCCCTGCCAACTCAAGGGTGCCCTTGTGTCCTGTGTCTCGCGACACATGCCTCCTTGGGAATTTCGAGGGTCGCTTTGAGAGAGTTCCGGAACGCTCTGGAACAGATGTATCCCCGTCCTGGCCCAGCCAGGGTGCAGTCGGGCTGCTGGAACAAGGAGCGATGCACAAGGAGCGACGCCCTTTTTTGGCTCCGAAAGTGCCTGCGTGCGCGAGGAGGGCGAGAGGAACAGCCATGGAAGGACCTATCGACGGCGGGCGCTGGGGGGAAGTGCGAAGGGACGGCTCTTTTCAGAAGGCTCGGAAGTCCCCAGGCCTTCGGAGAAGGTTCCTAAGCCATTCCCCGAAGACAAGGAAAAAACTTTCAGAAGGCTGGAGCGCTTCTGAGAAGCCCCGCCGCTTTCTGAGAAGGCCTTCTCCTTCTCCCCCCTCCCTCGCTCGCCGCCGAGTGACTGTACAGTCGGACTTGATTGTGTGGACAGGACACGCGAGGGGACACACGACCCTTCCGAGGGTTCCATTGCCACGGGAATGTAGGAGGCATGGGTCGCGAGACACAGGACATAAGGGTACCCTTGATTTGGCAAGGTGGGTTCATCCGAACGTTCCGGTACGCCCTGAGAAGGCCACGGCGCCCAAGACATCCTCCAGAGCGGCCGGATCTCAAGTATTCTCGATTTATCTTTTCCCGATTCTATCTTCGTCTTGGCTTCGTCCATCTAGTGTCCTGCGCGTCGCGACCCATGCCCCATGCCTTCTGCATTCCTATGGCAATGTGGCCCTCGGAGAGATCTTGTGTCTTCTCGCGCGCCCTCTCCAATCAACCTCGACTGTAGGGGTATGTTTGACGCTTCGCTCATCCCCACCAGCCCATCCGAGAACAGACACCAGACGAGTTGCCCTGATCAGGGATGGGCAGCGTCCTGGTTGAGCGGTTGCCTGTCGTTGCCTGCGGTGCCTGTGTTGCGTCGTGCGTGCCCGGGGGCCGCCTTGGTAGAGTGGCTGCCTGTCGTCGTTGCATGGGGCAGGCGTTCTTGATTTTGGAAATTGTGAATTTCCCCCGTCGGGCTTGCCCAAGGGGTTCTGTCTGTCGTGTTCTTGAACACCCAGTGGGTTCGAGGCTTGCGCCAGTTGGCGTTCCCTGGGGTTCCCTGGTCTTGTTTCTTTGCAGTCGCGTTCCCTGGGGTTCCGCGGCCTCGTTTCTTTACAGTGGTTTTCTTCGGCGTTCCCCAGCCTTACTTCTTTACATCGGCGTTCCTCGCGCGCGTCCTTGGTTTGTTTCTTTACAGTGGCCTCCCTCGGGGTTCCCTGGCCCTGTTCCTCAAACGGTGCTTGCAGTGAGGGGTTCTTAATTTGGTTGCTTGGAGTGTTTTTAAACGCTCTTGGTCATACGCGCGTTATGCCTCCCTCCCCCCCCCTTAACGCAACGCTGTGGTGACAGAACCACGCGGCGCTGGTGGACGCAGGCGCTGGTGCCAGAGTTGCACAGCCCGGGGGTGGAGGGACGTTCGTCACGTAATGCCCCTGTCCGCCCCGGCCCTTCCTCTCGATAACGCCCACGATCGCCGCGAGGGAAAAGTGGTCTCTCGAGGAATTTGATTGGCTCGCCGAGGATTTTCCACGCCGCCGCCTCGAATTGGCGCTCTCTGTCGGCCTGTGCGCTGGGTGGGTCCGCCGAGCTTGCGCCACGCTGCCGCCCGTGCCGTCTCGTGGGCGCTCGTGGGCGCCGCCCCGCGCGTGGACTCCACGCCACACCGTTTGCACCATAGCTTGCACGACGTAGCTTGCACCACTCGAGGCCTCCCAGATGGGGTCGGAGTAGATGGGGTCGGAGGATCGCGCCGCATCGCCGATGCATCGCCGATGCGGCTCGATGCGGAGCCCGATTTTCTCCGCGCCGGCGTCGCCTATGATCGCCCACGTCGACGATGCATCGCCAGTGCATCGCCAATGCATCGCCGATGCATCGTCGATACATCGCCGATATATCGGCGATGCGGCGCGATCCTCCGACCCTATCTACTCCGACCCCATCTAGGAGGCCTCTAACCACATAGCTTACACCGCATAGCTTGCACAACATAGCTTGCACATCATATCTGACACCGCGTAGCTTCCACCCCCAGTTCACAGCATAGATTGCCCCACATGGCTGCTACCGGTTCTCTTGTACCGCATAGCGCTCACCTCCACAACTCACACCACACAGCTTATACGACATAGTTTACACTACAAGTTTTCACCGCATAACTTGCACCCACTGTTTGGGGTGCGCGCTGGCTAAGATGTTCTTTCCTCACGGTGCCGTTCCTCGGATTTCCCTGACCCTTGTTTCTGTTCAGTGGTGCTCCGCGCCAAGCAATGCCAAGAAATGCCACTCAATGCCAAGCAATGCAAATCAGTGTAATGTAAAGAAATTTCAAGCAATGCCAAGCATTGTCAAGCATTGTCAAGCAATGTCAAGCAATGCCAGGCAGCGCCATGTAATGTAGTGCCAAACAATGCCACGCAACGCCAAGCAATGCCAAACAATGCCGAACAATGCCGAGCAATGCCAAGCAATGCCAAGAAATGTCGAGACACGCCGCGCAATGCCAAGCAATGCTGCTCAGCTATGCCAAGCAACGTGACGCCATGCCAGGCAACGCCAAGCCATGCCCAGACATGCTCAGCAATCCACGGGAACGCTGCCAAATAATGCCAACCAGTGCCAAGCTATGCCAAGCAATGCAAGTCCATGCATCTGAATGCAACGCCAAGTAACGCACTCCAAAACAATGCCAAGCAATGCCAAGCAATGCCACTCAGGAGGCGTTCCCCCGATTTGGGGTGCCTCTGGACACATACCGCGGCGGCCCTCGGCGAGCGCAGGGAAACCCGACCCGGGCACGAATACGCAGCAGGAGGCCCCTGGTAGGCTCGCAGCCACAATCGAATACATCATACATCTACCTCCGAAGTGCTTTGCTCGTCGAAGCTATGAGAAATACCTGGGCTGCTTCGTAGATCGGATCATCCTGCGCATTTCTCGCAGACTCGAGGATCCAATGAATTCGGGGGTGCATCTGCTCTGCAGCCGAGCCCCTGCTCGACCTGTGCTCCCTCCCGCGGGCGTTCTGCCCCGAGGCTTCCCGACCCGAGCGACCCCACACCTCCCACACCACGCGCTGCCCCCTCGGGGACGCGAACACGCAGCAAGAGGCCCCTGGCGGGCTCGCAGCCACAGGGCACGGCCGCTCGCCCTGTGCTCCCCTCCGCGGCCCTTCCCGCCCCGGGGCTCCCTGGCCCGCGCGACCCAGCACGTGCGGACGACGCAGAGAGAGGGGAGGCGAGGGGGGGGGACGGCTTCTTAGACGCACCCCTACTCCTTAGAAGGCGCGGGGCTTGGTCTGCAGATGCAGGGCTGGCGTCTTTTCAGAAGCGGCCTCCTTCTAAGAAGCCTTGCCCCCCCTCCCTCGGAGGGAGGAGGAGGAGCGATACCAACACCACCATGGGGGCCCACCTCCAGCTAGGAGGTCCACGGTGCCTCCCCGAGCGAGAGACTGGGGATGTCTCGAGCGAGAGGCAGGGGACCACACCACCAGATAGACCCCCCTTGCCTCCGCGCATCTCCTCGCCCTGTTGGCGTTGGTGTCGCCTTTCCTTGTCCCCCCTCCCCCTGCCCAGACCCCCGGCGTCGTGATTGCTTCACAGCGTCGACCCCCAGTGGTTTGGACCCTTTCCCCAGGACCCGGTTCTCGTCCCCAATCCAGTCAAGACGCTGAAATAAGGAACAGGTTGGGTTCGGAAGGGGCTCGATGTTCCTTAGGTGCCTCCAGTGCTGTTCCTCTTGCCCTCCTGGGGCACGGCGGCGCTTACAGGGCCAAGAAGGGGCTTCGTTCCTTATTTAGCGTTCCTTCTTTCAGCGGCCTGTAGTGTTTTGACGGTCCCAGGGCCCGGCAAGGGCCCCCGGATGGCAAAAGAAGCGAAAGGCCTCCCGCCGTGATGTTGTTTTCATTGCGCTTCGCCAAACGTGCCACACCAGACGCTACCCTCTCGAAGGGCAGCCGCGAGACCGCCTCGACGGCCATCTGCAGTCCTCCCCGCGGCTTGTCTGAATCCCTTCCGCGGCCGTTCCGCGGCCGTTCCCTCATCCAGGCTTCCTGACCGAAAGCGATCCACGACACTTGCCACGCCACACGTTATAGTCGGGGCCCTGAAGAAGGAACCCTTTTGGTTGGGGGGGGCTCCGCGTTCCTTAAGTGTTTCACAGCTTGCCTCAGGTTCCCCTTATGTCTTCGATAGGAAATCGAAGTTTCACTCATGGAATATAGGGGCCTCGTTCCTTATTTAGGGTTCCTTAGGTCAACGCCCCGACTGAACCCTCTCGAAGGGCGGCCGCGAGACCGCCTCGACAGCCATGCAGTCCTCCCCGCGGGCTGCCTGCCTCCTGCTCCTGTGCTGCGCCGCCCAGCCGGTCGCCTCGCTCTCCGCCGCCGAGGCGTGGCCCTGGAGCAGGAGCCGGCCAGGCGCAGACCCAGACCCCCTCGCGTTGCGACAAACATCACGACGGTAGGTTTTTCGCCATTTTCGGATTCCAGGAGCACTCACCAGGCCCCAGGGCCGTCAGAAAACGACTCAGGATGAGAAACAAGTCCTGGGTAAGAGGTCCAGACCTCTGGGGGTCGACGTTGCGAAACAATCACGAAGGGTGTAGGGGGAGGGGTGAAGGCTTCTCAGAAGCAGCGGGCCCTGTCCATGGATGTGAGGCCGGCGCCTTGCAAGATGCAGCCTCCCGTGAAGCCTTCCCCCCTCCCCCTGACCCCCGTGTGCGCGCCGGAGGATGACGAACGAACAACACACACCCATACCCAGAAGGGGGTCGTTGGGAGGAGGACTGGCTATGGGCATGGGTGCGGGCTGTCGGACCCCAGGGAACGCTCCCGCTCGAGCGGGGACCCCCATCCCCCCTGTGGGTATATGGGTGTGTGTGTGTGTGTGTGTGTTCTTGCTTCGCCAGAGGAGGGCGCCGAAGGCTCCGCCGGTCGCGGCGGAGGCCCCCGCCAACGCGACGGAGGGGGCGCCCGAGGAGGCCGAGGCCGGGGCGGCGGCCCCGGCCGCCAACGCCTCCGAGGGCGCGGCGGAGGCGGCGCCCGCGGAGGCGGGGGCCGCGGAGGCGGCGGCCCGCGCCGCCGGCGTGCAGGCCGCAGGGAGGAGCCCCACGCGCCCGGGGTGCTACATCTGGGGGAGCGAGCCGTGGCGTGGCTGGACAGAAGCCCCCAGCAGTCTGTCACCACCCACCAAGCCACCCCAACCCAACCCGAAGGCCTCAATTTGCCCTCCATTTCCAGTTGGGGGGGTAGGGGAACACCGAAAAAACACATGGAACTCGTACCCCCCCAACCCGAAATTGGGGTCTTCGGGTTGGGTTGGGGTGATCTGGTAGGTAGTCAGTCTGCACGAACGAAATGGGCACGGAAAGAATGGGTACAATGCCCAACAGCGGAGCTTGTTCCATTTGAACAGGACTCGCTGTCCACGCCGCCGCGGCCTGTGTCCATTCGAGACAGAAGGCCGCCTGCTCAACAGCGGCCGCTGTTGGTTTGGAACAACATTTGTTGTTGGGCATTGTACCCATTCTTTCCGTACCCATTCCGGGCGTCCAAAAACAGTGACACGTCGATTAGTGAATTGTCCGGTTTCGGTTCTCGAGAGGGCGCCGTGGCCGTCGTTTTTCAGGCTTGCGCCCGCCAGGTTTGGGCCTCGGGTTGTTTTCACTGAACCACGTTTTGCTAGAGGGGGGTCTGTCCATCTTCGACCGTGGCATAAACACAAGAACTCGGAGGTCCGCGCGGACTTCTCGGATCGGCGCTGGCCCCCCCCCCCCCCTCTGCGCGCCAGGGGCGGCGCCCGAGGCGCCGCCAGGGGGGTCCAGCGCCGATCCGAGAGATCCGCGCGGACCTCCGAGCTTTTATGTTTGTGTCAGTGTTCGTTTCCCTATACATGCGGATGCCGTCGGGCTGCCCGAAGCTTGCCATGGACACCCAGAAGTGGAGGCGCGTCGGGTGGGGTGGGGGGGTAGAAGCGGGGGAGGAGGTGCCCCACAGAAAGTCAGCCGTCCGAGAGTCCTCACTCGTGCCAAGACACGAGTCATGGTACTGCAACGCCGCGAATCAACGCTGCTGCTGCGTCCTGACAATCCTAAATCGTCCTAGAACGCCATTCTTGGGATCTCGACATCGCGAAACTCCGTGACTACGGCGTCCTGCCGTGCCACAATCCTTACAAACCTTCCGAACTGTTGTAAACTTTTCCGACGAATGCGCGCGGCGCTGCCCCGATGTGTACCGTGGTGTCCCAAAAAGAGAGATCGGTAGTGAGATCGATAGCGAGATCGACAGGTGTCCCGTGGTGTCCCGTGGTGTCCCGTGGTGTCCCGTTGAGAGAGATCGACAGTGAGATCGATAGTGAAAAAGTGAGATCGATGTGGTGTCCCGAGGTGTCCCGTGGTGTGCTATGGTGACCCGTGGTGTCCTATGGTTTCCTGTTGAGTGAGATCGATAGTGAGATCGATTGTAAGTTCGATAGTGAGATCGAGAGGTGTCCCGCGGTGTCCCGTGGTGTCCCTGGGTGTCCCGTGGTGTCCTGTTGAGTGAGATCGATTAGCACGGCACCAGTGCATAGACCGTTCTGCGGTGCACGGTGGGACGCGCACGTGCGCTGTAGTGCCGACCCGCACGACAGGGGGAAAGGGTGAGGGGAGGAGGAGGAGGAGGAGGAGGAGGAGGAGGAGGAGGAGGAGGAGGAGGAGGAGGAGGAGGACGCGGACGAGGAGGAGGAGGAGGAGGACGAGGCGGAGGTGGAGGAGGAGGGATAAGGGAGAAACGTCGCATTCTATTCTCAGCACTTCCCTGGCGTGGCGTTTAGCTTTCCGCAGCAGATCCTCACCGACATGCTCCTTCTACCTGTCCTGTGCACGCAGGCACTCTGGTGTACACCAGCGCTGCGTTGCACGCGGATGCTGTGGTGTAGACAGGCGCTGTGGTGTGCACAGGCGCTGCGGTGCACGTAAGCATTGTGGTGTAGACAGGCGTTGTGTTGCACATGGCTGCTGCGGTGTACACATTCGCTGTGGTGTACACCTGCGCTGTGGTCCACGCTAGCACTGTGGTGTACGCAGGCGCTGCGTAGCACACGGCTGTTGGGGTGTACGCAGGCGCTGTGGTGTACACAAGCGCTGTGGTGCACGCGAGCACAGTGGTGTACACGGACGCTGTGGGGCAGATCGCCACCTACATGCTGCTCGCGTCGTCTTCGTCGTCGTCGTCGTCGCTCGTCCCTCGTCGCTCGTCGCTCATCGTCGTCGTGCGCACGGTCGTGGCTGTGGTGCCGGAGCCGCACGGCGGGGGGGGGCGTTACGTCATACCCCCCCCTGCCCCCCCCACCCCATCATGACGTCCGTCATGTATGTATGTATGTAATGTAATGTAATGTAATGTATTGGACTGTAATGTAATGTAATGTAACGTAATGTAAGGCAATGTAATGTGATGAAATGTAATGTGATGTAATGTAATGTAATGTGATGTAATGGAATGTAATGTAATGTAATGTAGTGTAATGTAATGTATGTATGTATGTACGTCTGTCTATCTGTCTGTCTGTCCGTCAGTCTGTATGTATGTATGTATGTATGTATGGATGGATGGATGGATGGATGTATGTATGTATGTATGTTTGTATGTATGTATGTGTGTGTATGTATTTCTATAGGTATATCCGTATGCATGTATATGTATGCATGTGTGCATGTATGCATGCATGTCTGTATGCATGCATACATACAGGAACGTATGTATGCATGCATGTATGTATGCATGCATGTATGTATGCATGTATGTATGCATGCATGTCTGTATGATGAGGAGGACGAGGGAGGAGGGAGGAGGAGGAGGAATGGAGGAGCAGCGGCAGCAGCAGCAGCAGCAGCAGCAGCAGCAAGCAGGGAAGTCGAGGCACGACACGTGGGCGGAGCAGAAGGACCTCGACGAGGCGGCGTGCCAGGGGCGCGCGAAATTGTGGAACGGTTACTGCGCCTCGGAGGACGCGATGATGGCGTTCGTCCCCAAGCAGTGAGCGCTTGCTGCTGCTGTTCCTTCGCCTCCTCCTGCTCCTCCTGCTTCCTGTCCTTTCTCCCGATATCCCCCTCCTTCTCCGCCCCGTCGCTCCCGGTCCTCCCCCGTTTCTCCCTCCTTCTCTTCATCTTGTCATCTTCTCACCTCCTCATTCCTCCTCCTCTTCCTCCCTTTCCTGTCCCTCCTCCCTCCTCCTCCTCCCGTTACCTCCCGATAACTTGCTTCTTCCTCCCTCCCTCTTCCTCCCTGCTCCTCGTGCTGCGCCCCCGCGCCTGGTCTTCGTCACTTTTGCACGTCTGCTGGCCTGCCGCCCACGACATCTGTCCAACGGCCTTCGGCCCATCCCGCCACCGTGCGTCTTACAGGTCGGGGCCCTGAAGAAGGAACCCTTTTCGTTGGGGAGGGGCTCGGTGTTCCTTAGGTGTTTTGCAGTTCGCCTCAGGGTTTCCTTATGTTTTCGATGGGGAATCGAAGTTCAACTTATGGAAGAAAGGGGCCTCGTTCCTTATTTAGGGTTCCTTAGGTCAACGCCCCGACGGTACGGGTCTTGGGGGGCGGCCGGCGGGACGGGCCGAAGCGCCCGGGGGAGTTCTTTTTAGAAAAAGAACCAACACCAAGACCGAAAAGATCCAGCACGCCAGGCGCCTCTGCGATGAATCGACAGGGGGCGGCGGATCGAAGACGCCTACGGCGAATCACCGCCGCCCCCTGCCTTTTTGGAAACGCCGATGTGGCCGAAAGTTGGACTAGAGCTTGGCCAAGCTATCGGACCATGAGTTCCCCGAGTCGGTTTGGAAAGCTTTCGGGGAACACATGGGAGAGAATGATTATGAACAGGAAGAGGAAGAGGAAGAAATAGAGTAGGAGGATGAGGGTTGTTAGGAGTCTCTTGGGGCACCCTTGGGGTCTGTTGGGGGCTTCTTGGGGGCCTCTTCGAGGCCTCTTGGAGGCATCTTGGGGGCCTCCTTGGGCCTCTTGGGGGCCTTTGGGGGCTTCCTGGGGGTCTCTTTGGCCGTCTTAGGGCGTTCCTGGTCCGTCTGACGCCGTCTGGAGCCGTCTTGGGGGCCTCTCTGGGCCGTCTTGGGGCCCTCTTGGGGCGCTTCAGGGCCGTCTTGGAGGCCATGTTGGGCGTCTTGGAGGCCTCTTGGGCCGTCTTGGGGCGCTCTTGGGGCCGTCTTGGGGGGCCCTTGGGCCGTCATAGGGCCTTCTTGGAGGCCTCTTGGGCGATCTTGGGGGCCTCTTGGGCCGTCGGAAGGCCGAAAAGAAGAAAACGCAAAAAACCTTCAAAAACCTAAGGAAAACCAATGATTTTGGCCTCTTCGGGCTCTCCTGGAGAACGTCTTGGAGGCCTCTTGGGCCATCTTGGAGGCATCTTGGGGCCATCTTGGCCGTCTTGGAGGGCATCTTGGGCCGTCTTGGAGGCATCTTGGAGCCATCTTACCCGTCTTGGAGGCCATCTTGGCCGTCTTGGAGGCATCTTGGAGGCCATCTTGGGCCATCTTGGCCGTCTTGGAGGCCATCTTGGGCCAAGTTGGGGCAACAAAGGCATTGACAGATGGATTTTCGGAAACTTGCGGGTGGCCGGCGGGACGGGCCGAAGCCCACTGGGGAGTTCTTTTAGAAAAAGAACCAAAACCAAAACCTGAAACATCCAGCACGCCGTGCACCCCTGTGGCAAGACCACAGGGGGCGGCGGATCGAAGACGCCTACGGCGAATCACCGCCGCCCCCTGCCTTTTTGGAAGCGCCTATGTGGCCGAACGTTGAGGCCAGACCTGCCAAGCTATCGGACCACGTGTTCCCCGAATCGGTTTGGAAAGCCTTCGGGGAACACGTGGGCATCTTGAAGGTCATCTTGGCCGTCTTGGAGGCCTCTTGGGCAAGCTTTGGGCGATCTTTGGGGCTTTTTGGGCCGTCTCGGGCCAGCTTCGAGCCAACTTCGGCCATCTTGGTGGGTTCCTGGCACGTCTGAAGCCGTCGGAAGCCGTTTGGGGGGCCTCTATGGGCCGACTTGGGGCCCGCTTGGAATGCTCCAGGGCCGTCTTGGAGGCCATCTTGGGCGTCTGGGAGGCCATCTTGGGCGTGTTGGAGGCCTCTTGGGCCCTCTTGGGGCCCTCTAGGGGCCATCTTGGAGGCCACTTGGGCCATCATGGGGCTCTCTTGGGGGCCTCTTGGGCGATCTTGGGGGCTTCTTGGGCCGTCTTGAGCCGTCGGAGAGCCGAAAAGGCGCAAATGCCAAAATCCTTCAAAAACCAAGGGAAAATCAATGATTTTGGCCTCTTCGGACTCTCCTGGAGGACCTCTTGGAGGCCTCTTGGGCCGTCTGGGAGGCCTCTGGGGGGCCTCTTGGGCCGTCTTGGGCCGTCTTGGACTCTCTTGGGCCGTTTTGGAGGCCGTCTTGGACCATCTCGGGCGGACTTGGAGGCCATCTTGGCCATCTTCGCGATTTTTTGAGGATGTCCCGAGCGAAACGGCCGTTTTTGGGCATTGACAGACGGATTTTGGATTCGCGGGTGGCCGGCGGGACGGGCCGAAGCCCACTGGGGAGTTCTTTTAGAAAAAGAACCAAAACCAAAACCTGAATCGTCCAGCACGCCGTGCACCCCTGCAAGCAGGGGGCGGCGGATCCAATGGCCTTCGGCCCATCCCGCCACCGTGCCTGGGTTGTGTTTGTGTGTGTGTGTGTGTGTACGAAGCTTCTTGTATGTTCGTTGGGATCTCTTGGAAGGCCTTTCGGGGGCCTTTTGGAGGCAGTTCTGAGGCCTCTCGGGAACCGTCTTTGGGGGCCTCTTTGGGTCTCTCTTTGCCCTCTGAGGGTCCTCTTTTGGGGGCCTCCTGGGGGCCTCTTGGGGCGGAAGGCTCGGATTTTCGATTCATGCTCCCTCTCTTGGGCCCCTTTTCGGGCCGTCTTGGGGTCCTCTTAGGCTGTCTTGGGCCGTCTTCGGCGCCTCTTGGGCCGTCTTGGGGCGCTCTGAGGCCGGTTTCTGGCTCTCTTGGAGCCCTCTTCGGCCGTCTTGGGCTGGTCTTGGGGGCATCTTGGGCCGTCTAGGAGTGTCGGAAAACAGAAAATGTGAGTTGACCCAAACCTTGAAACACCTAGGGAAAATCAATGATGTTTGTCTCTGGGGGCCTTCTTGGGAGGCCTCTTGGAGGCCTCTGGGGCCGTCTTGGAGGCCTCTTGGGCCGTCTTGGGGCCATCTTGGGCGTCTTGGGCCGATCTCTGGGCGTATCAGGGCCCTCTTGGGCCGTTTTCTGGGCCTCCTGGAGCCCTCGTAGCCCGTCTGAGGGTCTTCTTGGGCCCGGAGAACTCAGGCGGGAGATTCCGCGGGGGAGCCCAGTGGGCCCGCGGCAAGCCCCGTGAGATTGCAGAAGTCGGGGTCCGGGCCGCCCAGACCCTTGGGATCGAGGCCTGAGGGTCCGGGGATCGGGCAAGGAGGGGCCCGAGGACACGCCCACTCCGTGCCCGGCGGCACGGTGGCGCCTCACTTTTGCGCTGGTCCTGGCCTGCCGCCCATGACATTTTAGACCTCCCAGGTGGGGCCCGACCAGGTTGGGGTCGGAGGATCGCGCCGCATCGCTGATGCGTCGCCGGTGCGGCGCGATGCGGATCCCGATTCCTCCACGCCGACGCCGCCGATGCACCGCCGACGTCGACGATGCGTCGCTGGTGCATCCCCGATGCATCGCCGACGCATCGCCGATGAGGAGGAGGAGGAGGAGGAGGAGGAGGAAGGAGGTGGAAGGAGGTGGAAGGAGGAGGAGGAGGAGGAGGAGGAGGAGGAGGAGGAGGAGGAGGAGGAGGAGGAGGAGGAGGGAAGGAGGAGGAGGAGGAGGAGGAGGAGGAGGAGGAGGAGGGGGAGGAGACGGAGGAGGAGGAGGATGAGGGGGAGGAGGAGATAGGAGGAGGAGGAGGAGGAGGAGGAGGAGGAGGAGGAGGAGGAGGAGGAGGAGGAGGAGGAGGAGGGGGAGAACGAGGACGGGGGCCATCCTCCGACCCCACCTGGGAGGCCTCTGCACATCTGTCAGGCGAGGCCGCCTCCTGGGCCTCGAGGCCCGGGGAGGGGGCCCGCGCCGTGGCGCGCACGCGGCGGGCGGGGCCCGTCCCACGAGGCGGCCCTGCGAGGCCTGGCCTCTCCAGTCGCGGGAAGGGGCGCTCCTCCACCTCTGGCTCCTCGTCCTCTTCGTCGTCGTCCTCCACCCTCTTCCTCGTCGTCGTCTCCCTCCTCCTCGTCGTCCTCCTCGTCGTCCTCGTCGTCGTCTAGCTCCTCGTCCTCTTCCTCTTCCTCGCCTCCCCCCCTCCCCTCTCAGCCTCGTCCTCCACCGCCCTCCGCGACCCCCTCCCGTCTCGTGGCCGTCCTTGTGGCCTCCCCTCCGATGGCACTCCTGCGCCACCCTTGGGAGCACGGTGGGGCCCCCCCAGGCCCATTGGCGCCGCAGGAGTGAGAGGCCACGGCTCACTATACACCTTGTAGCATTGTGGAAGTCGATTAGTGGAGATGAAGCATGCTGCCAACTAATTTCCAGATCTATTATACCCATGTTTCAACCATGTTGTAAATATGTAGAAGCATGTTTGAACCTTTTTATGAACATGTTTTACACATTTCAAAAACATGTTTAATTCAATGATCGGATCGTTAGAGTGTCCATTGTCATGGCATCCACAGTTGTAGCAGCTTGTGTTCTTTTCCCGCGGTTTTGGCCTCTCGGGGGCACGGTTCGGAGGCTTCGAGGTCACTGCGAGCAATCTTCGGGCCATCGTGGAGGCCGCTTTGGTTCTACTCGGGGCCATCTTCTGCCATCCCAGGGGTTATTTTGGCCATCTCGGGCTTTCCCTTCTTCTCGGCGATCTTTGCCCCATCAATGCCCTCTGTCGTGCCGACAGGCGCATCATTCTATCGCCAACTGTTATGATTGTGATGCTCCTGCTGGTGATGCTGCTGCTGATGATGATGACGATGATGGTGGTGATGGTGATGATGCTGATGCGGATGCTGACGATGGTGCTGATGATAATGGTGATGGCGATGATGATGATGATGATGATGATGATGATGATGATGAT